CAGCCATGTTAACTAGAGGAGCATAATTTCAATTACTGTTAAGCAGTTAACAAAGCTGGCTACTAACAACGATGTATTCCATAGTCTAAAAGTCATAAAACTTTCGTACGTTAATTATTACCAACACACACAGGAAATCGTTGTGTTAGTATATAAACGTGCACGGATATGTATCTAATATGTTTTACTTACACAGCAAATGGAATGAATAAAACAGAAACCTACTTTTGAATATGCCCGAGCTGATCGTCCAAAGATTATCATTTAAAACTGATATTCAAATATAGTTACAATTTCTTGTAATCGTATAGGAGATCGCATATCAAACAATACGTACTGAAAAAATATTTTCTGTCATTTTAACCTCTTTTTTTCCCATTTACTCTAAAACTTTTTAAAGCTCAAACTGAATACTGACATTTACAGAAAGTTACATGCACATTTTTGCGTATTTTTATACCAGGTCTGTTGTTGTTGAACGTCACTCGCATCAAATAGGCCAATAATGAAGACCCTTCCATACATTAGATTCATACACCATGAATATAAACGTATTTCACTATCTCCCAAAGAATGGACTTATATAGATGCCAGTTTCTTCATTACGCCTATTATTATTTAAGTAGAATATATTGTGATATTCAGCGTGTGAGTGTATTTCAAAGAAAACAGCTTGAGCGAGTGCTCATCTTTTTCTACGTCGCTGACGTAACGTGCTAAAACTGAGGCAAAGTGAATATCTGTGACGTAAATGGTTAAATACATCTATATTCGCAACCTAATAATTCTTCGGAAACTATTTTCTTCATTATGAAAATGTCAAACAAAATAAATCAAGCCCTGCTATATATATGTAGCAATCACCAGGATGCCACATCTGATGTTAGAATCCTTATTGTGTATGTATGCTTATATATATCAGATAATACTTGCAACTGTACACAGGAAATAATTTGTACGTAGAAGACTGTGTTTGCATTAAATTTTCCATAAACATACCTGTCCAACTGTTCTAACACGCGCACACAAGCGTACGCGTTACGAAATGATTATGTAACGAAAACACACTTTATTACCTCCAATTTATCTGTAATTACCTGACCTACAACACATACACAATGAAAATACTTTGTTTTATAATTTCGAGCAAACCTACATAAGGGCTACCTGCACATAACTACCCCCCCCCCCCATATTTTTAATGATAGACTAGACCAGTGGTTCTCAGACTTAAAAAAAATATCTCGTTGTACCACTGTGAGATATATACACTATGCTTCCGCTTCCTTTCCGCAACCTTTTCAGTGACCACATGAAGGGGACCTCCTAACCACAGATACATAACTGCTGGACTGTAGAGAAGGCAGCTAGTTAACAACACCCACAACCAACACTTGGGCTACTCTTTCTTGATCGAATAGTGAGATTTAACTGCCACTCTTAGAACCTAACCACGGCCCCTTGCTGCAAAGAATCAGGAGCTATGAATCCTCGGATTCACAATCTGAGCACACTAGCTACTAAGAAAGCATTGAAACGTGTAACAGTTTTATAATTCTGAAATACATTTAATGCGTGTCTATACATAATATAAAACTTTCACTGTAACGTCCTTTCATAAAGATGACTGTACAGCATCTACAATAGTTACATATAATCTTGTTTTATATGTTAAAAGAGTTTGTATGAACAATTTTATCTTGTAAACAACAAATGCTGCTAGATCAACATAATATGTAGTTAAAGATATTTTTCGACCATTCCAAGGTTATTCAAAACCTGTAAGATTCATAACAAAAATTATTAAAAGTATGGGAAGGTACACAACTAAAACAGATGATTCAACTTGTTCAAATCCTTTACTGTAAAATAAAAATACACTTAACGAGAAAACTGTAGCGGAATCATCCTTCTATTGGGCATTTATCGTGGGTATTATCCTGTCTAAGAAAGGAATATAATAAGCACAAGCGAAAAGTTCATCACACGATAAAACTGTGGCTACCCGAAGCCAAATATTAGAAACGGAATCATTTCCAGAATCTACGAAAAAATGAACTACAATTAGCACCAAATAGTTTGTTGACTACAGAAAGATTAAAAGAGGGATGGCTAGTCTTTGGTATTTAAGATCCCAACTGAAATTTTCATTCAGGAATATATGATGAAAATGAATTTTGAAACGTAAGAGAGTAACATTTTGTTATATGTATTTAAAAGCTAAGTCATTGGGACAGAAGACAAAGTTACCTGAATATAAAAGGCAGATAATACTTGCGTTATAACTTCAAACGAAAGTTAAAAGGTTTAAGCAAGTACACATTATTTCCTTTCGTTCTAGCTTTTAAAACAGCGCACAGATCTCATGTGTGCTCGAAACATTGTAATAAATAGTTTTATATTCTAACCGGTGTTTTAGCACAGTTTAACAAACAATTTTATATCTTAACCAGTATCTTAACACAGCTTAATAAATATTTTAACCGGTGTTTTGATACAATTTTAGAACATCATATGATCGTCTGAGGTTGATGGGCGACATCGTGCAAGGGCAGTTATAATGCTAATCCAACAGAAGTGTTAATAAAGTAAGACAGTTCATTAAATTAGGTACTGCTGAAAAAACAAACAAAATCAAAACACCATAACACAGCATATTTAAAGTATTGTAAAGAAAGACAGAGGATATGTGTTGATCCTTTTGTATTGAAAGTCTTAAACTAATTAGTGCCTTGTAAAATTTATATCATTTTGTCATTATAATCCCTTTTGTTAAGGATTACACAGAGTTCTCCCTCCTCTTTCTGGAGATGAAGTATTAGCCCTAAAAGAACTAGCTAGCAATGAAGATATTATTGTTACCCGACCTGATACAAGTACTGAAGTTACAATCATTAACAAAAGGGATTTAATGACAAAGAGTTCATCACTCGTAGTGACGATGAACTTAAAATGGCAAGTTAATGAAGTATCACATTCCAGCGTATGATCTAAAACGGGGGTTCTCATCCACTCTATAATTTTTACTGTTCTTTAATACGAGTGTTTAATATTCATATAGCGGTAGATCCAACTTAGCCTTGTTCACGGCAAGAGTAGGGGTACTGGTAACCATATTGGAACGTCTGAGCGGAGGAATCTTATCATCCTGACAGCAAAGAAATGTACGGGTCTTAACTAAGCCTTAAAAATGACACATAATTTTCCGCCAAGCTATGTAAAATTCAACAATTTAAAGGATTTATTTATTTATTTACACACTAGCACCATAGCTTTAGAAAGGAAGGACTGTTTGTTTCGGATATTAGTGCAAAACTATATAGGGTCTGTTTGCACTAGCCGTCCTTAATTTTCAGCTTATAGACTATTAGCTAGTCAACAGCACCCATTTTTAACTCTTGGGCTACTCTAATCGAAGGGTGGGATTTGGCCGTCACCTATAACGAATCCAAATGCGGAGCGCGATCCTGCGTCAACGGGACGCGAGCCATGAACGTTCGGCTTCAAATACCGGCACACTACCCAGTAGGTAACGTCCAGCCCTAGAAGTTAAATAGTAACAGGCAACATGGAAAGGAAGTTAAATAGTAACAGGCAACATGTCGCGGTAGATTGTCTCATATCATATAACTTCTTAGATGATCTGGTAAATGCCACTCTCCACAAACTGTAAAGAAAAATATTTTTTGAATATAATTTTTATCATGTATTTCAGCATGAAGGTACCTTGGTATTTTTCTTAGTGCAAAGGTACATAATGGGCTATCTGTACTCTGTTCACCGCGAGCAATCGAACCTCGGAATTTAGCGTTGTAAGACCGTAAACTAACGTCTGATTCATTGTCGTGGAGGTGAGGTGTTGACTGAAAAGTATTTAGACAGCCTGTCTTATAGGCATGTTATTTTTTTTCAACAAAATCTTTGCGAAACCTTGAAGATATATAACAGTCCTAGGTGTCTTCCCGGATGTCATTTTTTGCTAACTAAGTGTTATAATTTTTCGGGGTATCTAACGGAAAACTTAACAAAGTAAATAATGCTCTTGAGTGAAATATTGATTTACGAGTATATTTTCCTTTACTTAATATTATATAATCCTAACTCTTCCGGTTATTTTACTGTTAACGTATAAAATAGTAAAATACGTGATCCAACTTCTACTCTAGTTACATTTGATGACTGGTCGAGCACATGAACGTAGTAAAATGGATAAATACTACTAACATCAGGCTGTCCTTTTGGATTTAGTTTTGATCCAGCCATCTCAGCAAAAACTGTGGGCAAAAGTATTAAAAATCTATTCTACAAATTCAGAAAAAAAAAAAGATTAGTTAGAATTTTAACTTTCAAAAAGTATGTGTTTAGTTTAAACTAAGGTCTATGGTTATCCAACAAAGTGAGCTCCAATTACCATTCTTTTATAGATGATTTAGGCGAAGTCTTCATGATGAACAAAGTTGAAATGGGCAGCAGTCGCCTGGTTGGATATCTAGTTGTTTACTTACCGAAGGCGGCATATTGCGCGCTCGTAATGTAATTTTCTTTAAACACTCTCCCAAGAAGTCTGAAATCATCATTGTAGAGTCATTCTTAAGAAGAAGGGAATACAGATAGAGCATGATCGCTGAGGAAACCAATGCCTTTTGTACTGTCATGTCACACTTAATAATCATCGCTTCCAAAAAGTGTAAATGACCTTCCTTATGAAAGTGGAAGCGCAAACTGAAACTAGATCCAACAGTTATGTATTATAAACGTTACCGCATGGTTAATGATTTCAATTCTCATAACCATAGTCAGAAAGGGATTACCAGAATCTCACTTTTTCGATATTACTCCAAAAAGTTTTATCCTTACAAGTTCAAATTCTTACAATGTTATCTATCATCAACAAAACTAAAATAAACAAAAAAACAAAGAAAGAAAACAAATAGGCAAGAATTCAACGACAACAGCTACTACCTCAAAATATATACTTATGGCATGTTTTGTTAACTTACCCGAAACAGGTAGTGATCAAACATCTGCGCCATTGTTGAAAGCGTCACCAGTGGTTTTTTTGTTTTGTTCAGTCTTCCTAGTTTGTTTTTTCTTATTACAGCAACGTTTTTAATCCCTAATTTAGAAGGTTCAGAGAAATAAAAAATTCTAAACGAACGATATGATTTTTTTTGCCACTCACAGCTATATGTTTTTCAACATATTAAACAAATGAAGCAACGTTTTACCGACTTCTTTATCTTGTTCTGCCTGACCGTTTTTACAGTCAATTTAATAAAATGTACACACGTGTTAACATATTTGACACAGTGCTACTGTATTGTATACTGTGCTGTCAATACTAACAGCTATTATTAAGAGAAAGTTAATAGTTCACAGGACAGTCACCTAGGTGATACGTTACACAGCTGTGTGTCCACAAGCACACTCTACAATAAGCTAGTGCTATTGGATTATGATATTAAGTCCGTTAAAAAAATCAAATAATACGATAACAAGTTCGTGTCGCTAACAAAAAACCACGCGGGAAATAAAAAAAGAGAACAGCAACACGCGACCGAGACTATTACTCCTAGCGGGATAGTGACATCCACTTAGTAACAACACAGCGTGAGCAATAGGCTCTCGTGACACATCCCAGAGGCTCAATCTCGCACGCAGCCTCATGTATTGTTGTCATCAGCCAGATTGCTACCTTCCAATGATGGCAGCCATCGCTCGCGGCCATCACCTCCAGTCTGTCTCTATTGGCTGTTGCTATTGACAACTGGTTGATGCCAAGTTCAGTGTAGGGAAGGGAATGTACAACGCTGGCTGGGATCGCTTATTCCTCTAACGAAGACGCGATTCGGGTAACAATCTTGTGATGTTATTCATTATTATTTTAACTTGTCCTCAAATATTAAGTCGTTCAAAACGTTATCAAATAATCATTCGTCTAAAGCATGCTGTGGCGTCTCATATTAAAACTGTAAGTTATTTTAAAACTGCTTTGTTAAAAGTTCGATCATGTAATATATATATGTATATTTTATGCTATTTTTTATGTAACCGTCTATATAGATATACACAAAGAACTTTCTAAGACTGGTATTACGGTGTGAAGCCCATTCATGTGCCCAGCATTACATGTTAACAAATAGATATCAACTACAGAACAACCAACATTACATGTTAACAAATAGATATCAGCAGCAGAACAACCAGCATTACATGTTAACAAATAGATATCAGCTACAGAACAACCAACATTACATGTTAACAAATAGATATCAGCAGCAGAACAACCAGCATTACATGTTAACAAATAGATATCAGTTACAGAACAACCAACATTACATGTTAACAGATAGATATCAGCTACAGAAAAACCAACATTAAATGTTAACAAATAGATATCAGCTACAGAACAACCAGCATTACATGTTAACAAATAGATATCACTACAGAACAACCAACATTACATGCTAACAAATAGATATCAACTGCAGAACAACCAACATTACATGCTAACAAATAGATATCAGCTGCAGAACAACCAGCATTACATGTTAACAGATAGATATCAGCTGCAGAACAACCAACATTACATGCTAACAAATAGATATCAACTGCAGAACAACCAACATTACATGCTAACAAATAGATATCAGCTGCAGAGCAAGTGAAGAGGTTTAAATACCCGTGTAATATATTACTCCAAATTGCAACCGTTTCCACGTGAGTTTGAATAGTTAAAAAATGCTCTATTAGCAAGCACTAACGGGCTTACCGTTTATCTCAGTTGGCTGAGCACTCGTCTAGAGTGTAGTAGGTCTTGGGTTCGAATCTGAGCTGAGGGATAAGGTTGAGATTACCACACTTATACTAATCGCATTTCAAAATCAACAGTAGCATAAAATACCCTTACGATTTCATCTACGAATCGAGATCCTACACTATCCCAATGGACTCCCCCAGCAGGGTCCCTACCTGAAATCCAACGCTTTAAGGAAAAACCGCCTTAGAACATGTGTCACGTTTGGTCCCGCTAGCTAGAAATATAAATACACTTTCGCACATCGCGCCCTTGAGATTCAAAGGTGGGGGAAATCCGACGCCAGATTCGGATCCAGTGATCCTGAAAACATACTCTTAAGTCCTCATCCTATCTTCCTACTGGAAGAGGACTACGCCATATAGGCAAGAACACTAGCCCCAGAACTGTGGGAGGCGTTCGTGGACAAGAAAAGATACACACATTAAGTAAATACATAGAGGGATTTTACATCTTTCCATTTAAAACAAAAGTATATTTTCACCTTCTTCTACGAACCCCCCTTTATTTATAATTATTCTACATTACTAGAGACTATTAATTCTTATAAATTTGAATCTGTGGGATCTCTCCAAGAAGAAGGATTTGTTGTTAAGCAGAATTGTTTGTTTGTTTTGAAGTTAAGCAGAAAGCTACACATTAAAGCACCCGTGCTGTGCCAACCACGGGTAACGAAACCCGGTTTTTAGTGTTATAAGCCTCCAGACTTACCGCTGAGCCACTAAGGAACCCAAAAAACAACGCTACTTAAATTCCAATTAGATTTCCTAAAAAAATAACTTCATTGATTTTCCTACACTGTTTAGTGTGGATATAACTCAGTGACAAGTTATGGGTTTCATGTTTGTTTTTTAGCACGTTAGTAATATCTACTGAATATTCTAGAAGAACAAATTAGTAGCATCAATGTTAGATATTCCTCAAATTCTATATAATTACAGATTTCTGTGGTGATCAATGGCGTTTTTAAGACTTTGTGTTGATTGGGAGGAGAAAGGGCAAATAGTTAATTTCGGGCAATGTTATTAAATACAAAAAAGTAAGCTTTGCTGCCTTTAAGAAATGTCTATTTATTATTTCTAATTATTAAAAAAAGCAGCCTAATGATGTTTCAAACTACTATTAGAAACCCTAGGTCTCACGTGATTGGATATACTTGGTTCAAGTTACATTGAAAATATGTTAACACTCTCATGTCATTGGGGCCCCACAGTGGCACAGCAGTGTGTCTGCGGACTTATACCGCTAAAAACCGGGTTTATATACCCGTGGTGGGTAGAGCACGGATAGTCCATTGTGTAGCTTTGTGCTTAACTACAAACAAACAATGTGAGTGGGAGTCACTATACAGTGAGAATTTAACAACCTTAAAAGTCTGAGTCTTCTCAGACGGGAGACTGTTGAGGGGCCACACACCACGCCACCCCCCGTGGTGAGTAATAGAGAAATTAAAATACCTATCATGTGTAATGTTCATCATGTTATTGAGAATGAAAAATGATTTTATGATTTAGACTGTTGATCTACCTCTAATCGAAGTGTCAATTAGTGTCAATGAGACTAACGCTCATACCCTGTAGATTTCACCTGTTGGTGAATTTTACTATGGCCGCAGTAAAACATAAGATCTATCCTTGAGGTTAAGGTGGAGCCATCACTAATTTTGAACTATTGAACCAGAGAGAAGGTAGGCAAACAGCATTTTGTTTCTCCGCTATTCCAGCTTTGAACCAAAATATGGAACTGACTGTCAATTTATAACACACCCACAGCTGAAAATACGAAACGTGTTCACTGATGTGAACCTAGAATCTACTCTCATACAGTCTGGCGCGCTAACTACCAGACTACGATCAGCCAATTTCAGAACTCAACAAATAAATAAATACACATCAAAGTATATTGCTGCATTATATTTATTTTGTTAAGCCGAAAAAGATTGAAATGAGAAGAAACACTATTTACGCACGTTCTTATTCACAATACGTACGAGTTTTTAAAGTAAATTCTCTATCATACTAATAAAAACAAAGGGAAAAAATCAATTAGCTAGTTTTGGTTATTAAGAGATGAAGTTTGAAAACAGTTATAATACAAACTTACTTAAAGTTACCTGGACGGATAAAGGGAAACAACCCTTAGACATTAAATTACCTAAAGTGTTGTTGTTTACAGACTCTCTCCCTCACCCCCACACTGTACGAATTTATTAATATGTATTTATTTTTAATATTAACGTTGTTTGATTGAATTTGTATTTAAAAATATGCGTGACTTGAAGTACCAGATATGTGTTGCGTATAACGAATTTGTGATATATTTGTTTTAATATCACCATTTGTTTCCAATAAGTTTATATTTGAGGGCGTGTATAGCTTACTGTGTTAGTTACGTATGGTGAAACTCCCGCCAATTCTCCAAGATTACAGAATATTCGTGAACACAAAGAATCAACAATATATCCATTTCCGTATCCGGTATTATTAGAAGGTTCTAGAAGATGTGTCTTGCCTATAAAAGCAGCAGGGTATCGCGCCAAAAAACAAAAGACAACAGAGAAGAGACAAGTCTACTATGAAACTTTTATAACCGTGTAAGCTATAAACTGTGATTTTGCTAACCCTATCAACCTGAAAATATACGACAGGAACAGTTACAAATTTCGAACGTCAGTGAATTCCCTTCAAACATTAATATCTCTCCAAGAATATTACAAATTTCTCATCAGATATTAGTGATTTTGTGAAAATATTATCTTATTTCAACGGTCCAACAATTCAGTGCCTGATAAAGCTAGCTAGCTTCCCGCCAATTATATGTACGTACAACTCGCTGGATATCAAGGAGACTCTGAACTAGGAAGACGGTTTTAGGCTATTTGTAAGTCAGTGAAATTTCTGTTTATGAAACTTGGTTTGTAGTAATTAGTCATAATAGTTGCCATTGTAAATCATAGTGTTGTATATACACTGAGTGGTCACAAGTAAATAAACACCACCTTTTCAGAAAAAAAAAAAAAAAAA